TGTAGTATTTCCTGGAATTGCTTCGGGTAAGCGTGGTGCTTCTTGCCCTATATATTGTGTGAATTTCCCCTAAATAAACGAGACTTGATCAAAACCCTGTCTTGTCTCCATTTCTCGTGTCTCTTGTCCCTTCTCATCCTCACTCCCCCTCTAGAGTCCTCGTTGCTCAACCTGCGGGACGGGTCAAATACTTGCCAAAGGAGAACCTCAATACATATGCAGAAATCCCCATAACTTGGAATCCAAACAGGCCCATCTGCCTGATGGCTGGTCTGTTTTCATTCATTCAGCAAACATCCATTGGATACCTATCGTGGGCCAAGAGCTGGCCTGGTCACTGGAGGTTGGAAGACAAAAGATAGTTCTCTAGTTCATAGGCATGGGGGAGATAGTAAACCAAATTGCAATACAGTGTAATTGCTGCCACTGTGAGGATGTTCCCAGGGTGGGAGGAACCCTGGGAAAGGGCCTCTTAGTGGCTTAGGGAGGTCAGGAAGCTTTCAAAGAGGCAGAAATTTGGCTGCAAAGTGCACAGTAAAAGCATTGGTTTAGATTGAGAAGTGGTGAGCCTTAGATACCTGCAGAATATGAGAAAAGGTGTCCACCAGGCAGCTGGCGGTAAAGGTTTGGAGATCAGGAGAGCCTTCTTAGATGGAGATAAGCTTGGGAGTGTTAGCTGTAGGAGGCAGCTGTCCAGGAAGACAGGAGTGGTGGTGTTCAAAGGCTGAACAGAATGGGGCTGTTAGCATCACCAGGAGACGTGAAGCACATACCCCACTGACCCCAACTTCAAGGTTTAGATATATTTCCTAAGTGAACAAGCCAAATCTGGGAGGAGGGAGGGACTGGATATGGCTAAAAGCACACACACACTCTGAGAGCTGTGCCCCACTCTTAAATGTCTCCTTCCATGTGACCGGACCACCTTCAGCATCGTACTTTGGCTGCTCTCTACTCTTTTCGTCTCTCTACAAGAGGAAAGGAGTGCATTTGATTGGTACATTTGGGAAGAACAAACCAGGCATGTTGGAGTCAGTCCTCTTCCTCTTGGGAGGGAGACTGACCTCAGAGCACAAGAAGTCACCTCCTCCATACCACCCACGCTGGGCAGGACAGGCCAGCGCTGACCCAACATCGCTGTCACTCACCCTGAGCAAAAGTATCAAGGAGCCTTCAGAGGTAAACATGCTTTGGGCCTCTGTCTACTGACAGGCTATCCTAATTGACAGTTTGTTTTAAATCTGGGTAAGAATGGTGCTATTATCAGACCACGCTTATTCTAAGAAGACCCCTGAGGCAAAATCTGAAGACAAGCAGGTTAATTTGAAAAGGCTCCTTACACAAACACTTGAAGGTGTAGGGTTAAAGAATAGAGGAGGATAGAACCTGAACGCCAACATTTACATTTTAAGCAGAGGGCAAGAGAGAAAGGGGACTTGTTTCTAAAGGGAAACAGCAGAGAACTAAGAGGACGTAAAGCGTGCGCAATCAGAGGCTACAGTCTGAGAGGGAAGGATGGGCTTCATTTGTACAAAACAGAGCAGTCTTCTTGCTTGTGTATGTAGATAACACTGTAGGGTGGCCCAGAAATGGCTTTAGCTCCTCCTGTCCAAGGTTCTAGAACCTGAGGTTTGGCCAAGTTGGCAGCAAGCTTCCAAGGACAAGCATTTAGTAAGTTAAAAGTAAAAAAAAGTTTGGGACATTTATTGACCTGTTCCTTGAGCAGCGATGCTGAGTGTAACAATGGATTAGCAATGCATTGATGTGATGTCTTTCTGGTCTCTTGCAGTGATATTTAAAATGTGTGTGAACTCTAATTTATTACAAAATTTAAGAAAAACCTCATGCGGAGCCACAATGCACTCAGCAGGAGTTAGAATGCTGCCTCTAGGGGCCTGGCGGCTTTTTTCAAACAATAATATTAGAAATTTCCCTAATGACAGAAATAAGAAATTCACTTTAGAAAACCAGAAAAATATAGTAAAGTATAAAATAAATAAAAAATACTTATGATTCCACCTCCCCAAGATAATGAGTACTAATATTTTGGAGTATTTTCTCCAGTCTTTGCATGTTTTAAAATAAAACTCAGATTTATTTTACTTTGTTTTTTCTATGTAACATATTGTGAACAATCCTCAATGGTTATTACTCTTCAAAAACATGATTTTATTTTTTAATCCTCACCCAAGGATATTTTTGAGGGAGGGAGAGAGAAACATCAATGCAAGAGAAACACATTGACTGGTTGCCTCCTGCATGACTGGGGACCAAGGCCAGGCTGGGACTGAACCTCAACTGAGGTATGAGGTACCTGCCCTTGACCAGAATGGAACCTGCAACTCACTGGTCTGCAGGACGACGCTGTAACCACTGAGCCAAACCGGACAGGGCCAAAACCATGATTTTTAATGGTTGAATAATGTTCCACATAATGAATATACATACCATTGTTTATTTAACTATTACCCTATTTTTTGCACATTTGGATGGCTATCAATTTTTCTCTTGTGAGAGAGAAACCTTGTACATAAATCTGTGCATCTTTGATGATTTCCCTAAGGCAAGTTCCTAGGGGTTGACTCACTGAATCAGAGTCCACTGGCATCAAATACACATATATTAGAATGTTAGTTCTCTGTTCCCAGGTACAAAAGCTCATAAGGCCGTTGTGAAGGCCATTTAAATGATCTTGAATAAGGCTCAAAGAGCAAGACTGAGGATCCTAGCAGTGTCCTGAATGAACCGATTATAAAAAAATCTAAATCAAATACAGGAGTGGCCATAGGAGTTATTAGACTAAATTGGGGAGAAATGGGAGGGAGAATAGGGAAGATGAGAAGAAAGCTGGGGGGCAGAAGGGCGAGAGGTTCTTGCCTGCGCTTCATGGGGGGGGGGGGTGGAGAAGGGAGCTATTGGGAGTTTCCATTATGAGAAACCACAAGTTACTGCTCCATCCTAGGATACCTCATGGCTCCTTCCTGATGTTTGCAGTCACAGTTGAGATTAGACAGATTATACAGGATGACCAGCACATGGCATATAAGCCCCAGAAATGTGCTTTTCTTTCTGCTACACCCTAATGACTCCCACAATGATGACGATACTCGGGACATAGACTAGCCAGCTGTATAGTTCAATGAAACTACCAAATAAAGGCTGAATTTAAACTACCTATGTTCATATATAGATTACTGTATCAACACAAAATGTTTGGCTCTTTAGCTCTGCTATAAAAAATAAAAGAGCACAGGAAAGGAAAAAAACACAAATCTATTTCCTTCCCATTTAATTCAGGCCATAAATACAACTAACTTCATCAGGTAAATAACTAATGAATTAATTAGAAGTACATCTCATCAGTGCTTCCTTGTATTTCCTTATGACCCTCATCATTTCTAGCCCCTACCTTTAACAACACTAGACTGAAATGTTCCATAGAACACTCTTCTTAACACAGCAGTTAGCCGCCGACCCACAGGGCTCATTCCTCTGCTCCAGACCATAAAGAAACCCCCCACCTTCACCCCACCCCCACCCTGCATGCAGCTGTATATAAAGTTCATCCAGTAAGATACAGAGTTACCTGGACGCAGGTGTCAACAAGACAGTAAGTTTGTTGCTTACCTCCCTCACTCCCTTTTCCTTCCCTGTTATACTTTATCTCCTGTAATGGTGGTTCAACCCACAAAAACAGTGAGAAACTGTGAGAAAATTACATCATGTAGTTAGTATCATAGATATTTTCTGACAAAAGTGTGGTTGGAATTGGGGTTCTAGTAAAGATGATCTTTCGTGGTAAGGGGAAATCCTTGCAGCACTTAAATTTTTTAAAAAGCAACCATGTGTAGTTGTTTTTTAAGATGACTCATTTGGAAATTGTGCAAAGAATATGAACAGGCAAATCAGAAAAGAAACAATCAGTGCCCACATGAAAACAGCTTCCTCTCACTGGCAACTGGGGAAATGCAAGTTAAAACAAGCTGCCATTTTTCACCTCTAAAACTGGTGAAAATGTTCAAGTTTGATAACATTCAATGTTACTAAGGATGTGGGGCAGTGGGCCCTCCTAACAACCACTGGTAGAATTACAAGTTAGTACAAAATGTCCGAAGGGCCACTTTGTACAACGTATCAAACGTACATGCCCCGACTCAGCAGTCTCACTTCCAGAAACCTATCCTATACAGAACTGCACCAATACAATAGCCACATTTGGCTAAATTTAAATAAAATAGTATTAAAAATTGAGTTTTTCCACTGACCTAGTTACATTTCAAGTGCTCAACAGCCACACGTGCCTGATGACCACCACATGGGGCAGTGCAGACAGGGACTGTTCACTATCACAGAGTTCTACTGGTGCTGCTATGGAAGTGGGCAAAAATAAACGGACAAAGATAATCAATGCAGCATTGTCTGTAAAGCAAAAAATCAAATACAGCAAAGTGAGGAATAGTTAAATGTCACATTTATACTCAAGTATAAAATTAAAAAAATGAGACAAATCTATATGAACAAACAAAAGGGCTCTATATTTTAAATGTAAAAGTATATTGTGAAACAAAATGTGCATTTTATCATAGATATAAATATGTAATCTCTAAAGACATGGAAAAATATCTGCAAGGATATATATCAAACTTTTAGTGGTAGCAGAAGAAATAGGGTTTGGAGAGAGGAATGACAATTTTCACTTTAATTTACATCTAAATTGAATTTGTTGCAACCAGTACATATTCTATGTTTAAAAATTTTTTTCCCAAAAGTTCTACTTTTAGAAAAATGACTTACCAGTAAGCCATGATCATAATCTATTCTTTTTTTTTTTTTTGCCTACCTGGTATTTCCATTCTTTATTATTTTTCTAGACCTAGTAATCAAAAACATTTCCTGAGGCCTGGGAGGAGCCACAGATGTGCCAGCCTCCAGCTTTGGTCTCGTTCTACCACTTTTTTCCCTACAGTACTTTCCCCACAACTGAATTCTTTCTTTTGCAGGCCTTTTGATCACTCACACCCTCACTCTTTCTCCAAACTACCAATCTGATACTACTTTATCACATGCTTAAAGAAGCCAGTACCTCAACAGATGAGCTTCTGCCCAACAAAACAAAACTCATGGTTTTACTCCTTGGCCTGAGTGTAGAGGAGCAGTCAGAGTGAGGTAAACTAAAGGGGAAGGGACAGGCAATGACACAGATATTTCAGACATACCACTTTAGGTATAAATCCCACCTATGAGAGTACTTTTCAAAGCAAATCACATCAAATATAAGAAAACCACCACTAGTAAGTCAGATGAATGATTATGTTAAAATGTGATGGGTTTATTTTATTTTACTCTGATGCAAAACCAAAGATTGCACTACAGCACAGAGACCAATATATTAAAAGGTCATGAAAAGTGGTGTGGGACATGCAGGACGTGATGTACAAACTGGAGGATCAAGTTATTTCCTTTACAACATGACACTACATTGTCGCTGAGGAACACATTTAAATAATACTGCAGAACTGAACTAAAATGTGGCACACACATGACAATTTCCAGGCATGCCTTCAAGCACCTCCCTTAGGATGGACTTGCAATCTCTAGACTTCAGTGTGGGGAGGATTACCATTCTTTGGAAGAATAAAAAGTTCACACTTTTGAAATTTCAGAGAAGAATTTTAAGGCCAAAACATAGTGGGTTCATTTCTCTTCATCTCCAGGGAGAAATCTGATGCTTTATTCAAAACTGCATTAAGCTTCTAGTTCAAATCCCAACCCAACCTTGTGACCTCCAGCATTGAAGTTCTTTCCATCGATTAAAGCTGATAGGGTCAGTTTAACTCCTAGGAAGAAGAAAACACCACAATCATTTGTGACAAGTCTTAGAATCAGATCTGTATTTTCTAGAAACAATGGGTGGAATCAATGGCTTGGATTACAGCTGTGTGTAAGAGGTACAAACATACAGCTATTACTACAGGGTTATCTATAATAATCTAATCTGTAATGAGTAAAGCATAATCACAGCAAACTTTATGTGGATTTCAGGGTTAGGAATAGAGTGATCAACCAAATTCACAAGCCAGAGTGACCAAGTTATACTTAGAAATACGTAAAAATTTTAAAGCAAGAGTACTTGATCTGTTTTACTTTGCATGAACAACCAAATGTTATGAAATGGTCTGAATCAGCCTACAGTGATTACAGGTTGTTTTTGTAGGTTATTTTCATTATTCCTCTGTTACCTTCTACTCTTACCCCATTGTTATTCATTTCTTTACTTACCTGGTCGAAGAGTCTGAGTATAACCCAGTCCGATCAGGCTGGCATTATTTACTTTAGCCTAAGAATAGAAGATGAAATAGAAACAGTAAGAAAACAATTTCATAATATATAAGTCCAGCATGACCACAACTTCATGCATCAGATTTCCAAAGCTAAAGCACCTTAGGGTCAATCCAGAAGGTGGCATTGACAATTTAATAAAAAGATAAATCTTTTAAGAAGAAAACTGGTGGTGACAGCAGAGACCTTGAGAACACATGCTTAAAGGCCTCAAGCAAGTATTTTTAAAACACTATGCAACCAAATACCCCTGTGTACTGAATTCTGAGATACCAGTTTACAATCTTTGGTTAGAGCATCAACTCTGGTGAGACAGATCTGGTTCAAATCTTGGCACTGCCACTTATTTTGTGACCCTGGACAAGTTACCTGACCTCTCCAAGCCTCAGTTCTCTCATCTGTAAAATGGTGATGAGACTACTACTCACCACCTATAGTAGTTGAGAGGATTAAGTGAGATAATACATGTAAATCCCTTAGCACAGTACCATGAATTTATAAATAAGAAAATTCTGAGGCCAAAGAGAGAAAATGACTTAAGAAGGTCAGACAACAGCGAAATACAGGAAAAACTAGGACTAGAACCCAATTTCCTGACTTGAGGTGTAACACTCTTTTCACTAAACAAAGACTAGCTCATTAGTTAAAAACATGCAGACTACAACCATATCACAACTTTCATGACCAACTCAGACGAAACCCTAAGAGCAGGCACAATCTGGTAGCACATTCTTACAGAGAGAGAAGTTCTACAGTCCAACTTGTATTTAGCAGCAATGCCAAAACGGGTGTTGTTACTGCCAGCTGTCCAAGCAAGGTTTATTGATGTTTCAATCTTCTCATTAACCTTCTGGTAGATAGACCCTCCAAATTCAGTGCCATCATTCCTGTTTTCATGGTATAAGAAAAAGTCATCAATTCTAGTTTGTACCAGTTATGATATGGAAACAAATTCTAAGACTATCTAAACAAGGATCTCATTTTGCAACTACAGATTTCAGCAAACTTCTAGCATAAATGATCACCAAACAAAAAAGGAACTAAATCCAGTTATGTAATTTAACGACCTAATTAAAATGTAGTTAACACTTGATTCATTTACTTGTCTCCTCCACAACATAAATTTCTTAGTCACAATTAAGTTATGCACAAAGGCAGATACCTCAGGTAAATATGACCTATTGGTCTCTCTGAAATGTCCAGAGAATTTATAAACTTCAAAGTTGAGTTCAACAGATTCCACATAAAATATATGCAGTAGTACAATTATGGGAATAAAGCCAAATCTGAATTTCATTTAAAACAGAGTCCTAGAGTTAGAAAGCACCCTCCCTACAATATCTAGGGTGCACTGCTCCCGACAAGTGCCTAAATTATTCCAACTATCCCAGAAATTATTTCCTAAGTTTTCATGATAATACTGTTTCTTCAATTGTAATGCCACTACCTATACCACTGTTTGACTTTACTTTAGTCATCATAAATGAATTAGAATGTCTAGTAGAGAGCAACATGGAACACTTCAAAAACACACAGCTCATCCTTTGTTTTCTCTTCCTAGTATAGTAGCAGTGCCCAGTAACCCAAGAAATAAAATACAAAAGTTTTATTTTATTATTATTTAAACGATGTTTTTATTGATTTTTTAGAGAGAGAGAAACATCGATCAGCTGCCTCCTGCATGCCCCCCAGCAGGGATTGAACCCACAACCTACGCATGTGCCCTGCCTGGAAATCGAACCGAGACCTCTCAGTCCATGGGATGGCACTCAATCCACTGAGCCACACCAGCCAGGAAAAATACAAAAATTTTGAAAGTTCACATTCATTTCACCAATAGGGTGTGGCCTACAGAACTGAATCCAGAATTGCTTTGAGGACCTGCTATTCCTGACCACGGGTCTGAAAACCTCCAGAGAATTACTGGGGATGCTCCAGGACACTCAGATCAATTTGGTGATTGTTCTTCATGATCCAAACAGACCTGTTTCAGGATACTGCCAAGCTGAGTAGGGAACAAGAGGAAGCAGGAACATCTCCAAAGGATCCCTTGTATCAGGAGGTGACATATCCTGGGCTCTCTCCCTCCCAATGCTTCTTCTACAGATTCTAGAGCTTCACAAAGTTTGGGGTACAGGCTGAGAGGCCAGCAACTACCAGAAGCACAGTGCAATGCACCAAGTGCACTAACCTCTGGCAATGTTTTGCTGACCATGAAAACAGTGCAGCGAGGTTGGCTGTCCAAGGCATATTAAATGCAAGCACCATCATTTCTAACCTTCTCGACATGCTAATGGCTACCAACTTTTTGGGTGACTGTATTGGCATTAAAGGAGGAATGAACTATAAACACTCACACATGAGTGTGCAGCTGGAAGTCTGCAGCCTTGTAACCCAGGGCGAAATTATTCTGTGACAGTTTAGACTTGGCTGTGTCAAAACTCATCTGATAACCAGCAAGCCAGCCTTCAAAGGCTAACACAGCCCAGCCATAGATGGTTGGGCCAGAAAAATCTATATCAACATTACTGCCAAGACTGAAACAATCCCGTTTGTAGGAGGCCTTCAATTTCCCACTCTTCTTTCTGTGAAAAACAAACATAACATAATGTAAACAACAAGAGTTTCTACTACTGTCCAGGAATCTTTACAGTAAGATCCCCTCTCCCCCCTCAGAGGCAGATGGCACACATATAGCAAAAATGTTTCAAATAATTTAGCTCTACAAATATAAGTGTTAGTATTAGAAATATATGTACTATTTTTACCTATTCCTCACTATCAATTCAAATGATGGGGTACTTCATGATTAATTTCTTGAAGGCATGAGCAAAAGTATAAAAAGGAATAAGACATTTCAGTACCAAATAGTCTGAATATATATGTATATGTACAAGAAGACAAACTTCTTTAAATATTTTCAAATGGCCAAATGCTACAAAAGGTAACAACATCCAGCATACTTCACTTCTAAATTATTAACCTGTCATGGAGAAAAGTGTACTTTTTTTCTTAAAGGGTACAGCCCTTTGGTAAGCATATTTATTTCCTTAGGTTTCGTGTTCTCTCCATAGACAATGTTAGACAGATGGAAGAGAAGTGTGTAGGGTTGAAGGACAACACTGAAATTAGTTTTTAATAATCTGTTCTAGTCTAATCAGGCCTCTTAATGAGAATATTTGTCCTAAAGATAACTAAAGCACGTGGCAGGAAGGACACACCTGTTGTTACAGCTAAGAAATGCCACTCTACCTTCACCTAGCACCTCTGTCCTTTTTGATAGCCTTGGTCGATGACAGGCAAATAGGAAACAACACCATCCCCATTTTTTAGATAAAAAAATTGAACCTGAGAAGTTGGGAGGACTTATAAAGGCTAAGAAAGCAAGTCAATAGCAGAACTACTAGTTATAGTGTTCTACAGTCAGGAGAATACACTGTTTTCTTAAGAACTTCTCAGCAAAAGACCCCATCCATGAATCTTTAGAATCACTTAAGAAATATCTATAGTCAAACCCTTCTAGTTCCTAAACTTTTTCTAATATATGCCTCTTTGGACTAGATTTATGTTTTTGTTCATCTATTTGTTTTCAAATAAAATTTTTACCCTGCCTCAAGGGAGTCTTCCTTTCTCTTTACTGCATACGCAAGGTCTCTAATAATCTTAACAGTAACCTCCTAAACTCTTCTGCATCAAAATTTTTTATTGCGACTCCTTACTCTAAACCCCTCTATGCCTACAAGCTAAAAAACATTTCAGAAAATAAGTTTGGATAATTACCCTGTGTTCGGTACAAATGTGGTATCAAGAGTCAGTTTCAACCCTTCAGCCAACTGAAAAATAAAGATTTAAAATTAATGATTAGTAACTTTCAATTCTTAGTTTGACTCAAGAAACCAATTCTAAAGTTCCCTCTAACAAAAAAAAAGGAAGTCATTAAAGAAAGACGAATATTAAATTATTTAATAAATTACCTCTTTATCCTTCTTTGTCCCTTTACCCCTCTCCCCTCACCCCAGGCTTTATCTTGATTCTCTCACCAAAAAAAAGGTTAAAATATAAAGGTCAAATTCTCTTCCAACCAGTAATGTAAATCATAGTACAAAAACAATAAAAATCCCAATATAACAAAATAATATTGTTACTCTCAAAATTATTGTAATAAGACAACCTGATATTCAACAAGCCAAGTTAAGTACTTCATTCAATTACACATATATTACCTTTACATGATAATGTACATATAGACAAACTTAAAAAAATAGTGCCCTGTACATAATAGGCCCTTGACAAATAACTGATAGATTTTCTCTTTGAAAACATTACAGAATTTTAGGAACATTTTTCTGTCAAGTCAATTTTGCAATGACTAAAAAACAAAATTAAAACGAAATCACCACAAATAGTTTGATCTACCCAGGAGAGGTTTAGATGTATCACAGAATTAAGTAGAACAGTTCAGAATAAAGATGCAGTGTTAATTATGTACTCACAAACAAAGTCCTACTTTCTATAAACCTAAGATACCAAAAAAGGCCATGTACAAAAAAAAAATATGGCTACTGGATAGGTTAGGTTATAAGATTTCATTCAGATTATATTCGGGGTTTGTTCATCATCTTATCTGCAAGATAAATTTTAACATACAAATATCTGCTAATGCTTTCTCTTACCTTATTCTCCAAAGAGATTTCTGTTCCAAGAGTATTGTCTGTGTTCCATTTTTGGGTGAAGGTAAGTCCATAGTTACAGACCTTGTATTTGGTCTCTAGGTTGCCTGATGCTTTCCCTGTGTCAGTATAAGCATGACCAGAAGTAGAAAATTCCTGAGCAATAAAAACAATTACTTTAAAGGGAGCTCATCAAACTGTTTCAGAAAGCAGTGTTCAATGCACTAGACACCAGTACAATTAACATCTTTTAGATCTTTCCATTACTCCACCTCTTCTGTTGATATTTTTTGTTTCATATACTCTCTTACTAAATGGAAATCTTAAATTCCCTCCTTTAAAAGAGATGTTTCTTAACTGAAAATAAATGCTTTTAATAAAATGACAAAAATATAGAATCTTAAACATTTTACTTTCATGGCCTGAAAAAGATGTTTTCCATCATCATTTAAACTATTAGTTAATGTTAAAGTCCTTAAAATTCCCAAATCAGTGGAAACACCAGCCTCTCTCCCCTCTTTTAATAGGATCAGAACTCTATCATATTAAAAAAATTTATTTATTTTTATTGTGATAAAATACACTTAAAATTTACAATTTTAATCATTTTTAAATGTACAGTTCAGTGGCATTTAGTACATTCACACTGTTATAAAAATTTTAGTCCACAAAACTATTTATACATTTTTCAGCATAAACAATTTTAATATTTGAAAGTGTTTGTCCATTTTTTATAACTAAATGCAATGTTAAAATTTATCCCTCTTTCTCCATTCTCCCCTTGTCTACCTTTTAAAGTGCTTCCTATCAAACAGTTACTATGAGTACCTTAAAATAGATCCTCCTCCCTACTTAGGTGTCATTTCAGTCATGTGACAATAAGCAATTAGATATAGATATCCTTCTGGGGAAGCAAACAGTCAACACCTGTCACTGACAATCTATGAACTGTTAAAAAAAAAAAACATTCTTATTGGCCCTGTTTTTAAAGAACATTTCTGAAATGCTGCCACCCCCAACCAGTTATATTTCATTGCCTGCAACATGAATCCTCCCTTTACCAAATATCCTGCCTCTCTAACTCTGGTTCTAGGCTGATGAAACAACTGGGAAACTCCGATCTGTCTATCAACACCACACACAAAGTTTTCAAAGAGAATTATCATGCTGCACATTTAGGGCAAGGCCATAGTAAAAAATGATAAAAAGCCAATCATGTTTAACAGTTCACACAATTATTTAATTTGACCAGCACTTTCTTTTAGTAGATCCAACTAACCCATGTTTTATTTTTTACATTTATCTTTCATAAACTAGAAAGTATAGCAAATACAAATATTAATTTTGGTGCTCAAAATTAAGGTAAAAGAGTAGTTAGTCTACCTTTCTTCCTTGTTATCATTTCTTAGTTTGAAGCTTTGTCAAAAGTCTAAAATACCAGACACAAATCTCAAAGAGAAGGTTAGTATTTTTCTAAGGTCAGTTCCAAGCTCATAATTGCTTGTTTTTGTCTAATTTCATAATTAGATCAAACAGTGCTAAATATACTTATAACATGCACATAACATCTACAGCGCTACATTAAATGCTAGAAAGCAACAAAACCATTTTAAAATGTTTCTGTTAAATAGATGGCATGTGATAAAAATATCAAGATGCAATCTAAGAAATCTGGAGCAATAGATGTAACTTATCATGAATCAGTACCAGAAACCAAAAGCAGCAATAAAAACAAGCACACAAATATGCTGTTTTTCTTACCATCTGAATAAATATTCCCACAGCACAGCAGCGTGAAAGGGAGATAAAATTTTAGTTGATGGTTTTTGCAACACAAACCTAACTTGAGTAAATTCTGAAACACTACTCAAAATGAGTCTATTTATATTTTAACAGAACCATATATAATACTGTATACTCATCCTAGTAGAGTAGCTGCATATATATATTTATTCACCACTAGAAAACCCAGGGAGTGAATGACAGTGACAAATCAGGATTATACTGACTACAATGCAAAGTATTGTAACAATGCACATACCTCTTGCCCTTTTAATTTTTTTAAAAATCCTCACCTGAGGATATTTTTCCATTGCTTTTAGACAGAGTGGAAGGGGGGGGGAAGGAGGGGGGAGGGAGAGAGAGGGAGAGGGAGAGGGAGAGGGAGAGGGAGAGGGAGAGAGAGAGAGAGAGAGAGAGAGAGAGAGAGAAATATCCATTGGCTACTCCCCACACGACCCCACCAGGGCCAGGGATCAAACCTGCAACCCAGGTACATGCCCTTGACAGGGAATCAGGGAATCAATCGAACTTGAGACCCTTCAGTCTGAGGGCCGACACTCTAACCGCTGAGCCAAATGGGCCAGGGCTTGCCCTTCTAATTAAATAATTATATCTAGAAATAAAATGTGTATTGGTTGGAATAGGTAATACTAAAAAAGATGCAACCAATAAGGAGAAATCAGAGAATGAGGTGAATGTAAAGGTAATCGAGTTGCTGAGACTTACTTAATAAAAACTCTCGTTAATGATGCTTTGAAAATATGCATATATCTTTTACTATATTCTTAACTTCCAGTAAAAAAAACTTTATGAACATCAATAAAAACTGTAAACTAATTTCTACATGCATTTTATTTCTACATTTGCTTCAATTAATCAAGAAGGGACAGAGACTAAAATTAATTTATTCTTGTAAAAGGGTGATAAAACTTGCATGAACCCAATACAGTGAAAAGAAAGTTTTCGGCGCCCACACTCATGAAGGGATAATGATATGGCATGGGTCAAAATATATATATGTATATGTATATACACACACATACACATACTGTATCTTTTGAGAGTAAGGCTAAGAATAGTCTAATTATGACAAAAACAAAATTCAACCTGATTGTCTATAAGTGGCTGAATGAGGATTCTCACTAAAATCTGAGAGTGGAACAAAGCTTTGGGAAGAGAGCACAGAGCCAAAAGTATGCTGCGCTTCACATAACTAGACTAAACACTGATTTTTTTTTTTTTTTTTATCCTCACCTGAGGATATTTTTCCATTTTTTGTACAGATAGAGCGGGAGGGAGAGAGAGGAAGGGAGAGAGAGAGAGAAACATCGACGTGAAGGGACACATCGAGTGGCTGCCACCCGCCTGACCAACCAGGGCCGGGGACAAACTGCAACCAAAGTATGTGCCCTTAGCGGGAACCGAACCCGGGTCTCTCCGGACCGCAGGCCGACGCTCTAACCGCTGAGCCAAACTGGCCAGGGCTGATTTTTTTTTAAACAGGTTCCTTTCAGTTAATCAGGCTACATCTATTGAAAATATATTAGGTACTTACCACTCCACTACATGACTTGGTTCTCAGATCTATTTTGACCATGCCAAACCCTAGACACACACACAAAAACACAGTTATGTACAAAATGTGACATTCACTCAACTTAGAAATTATGAAAATAGTCCATAATATCTTCCACATGGAAAGTACACAGTATTCTCATTAAGTGAGAATCCCACGAGAAACGGAATTATAATGAAATAATTTAAGCATAATTTTAAACCCTTCAAAATAATAGATATATTTTAAAACTATAAGTTAAAGAATAAATTAATGAAAAGAATATGTACTATCTGAGAACCAAAATTATTAGAAAATACTATGCAGATCTATATACAAGCTTAGAATATACACAATGAACTTTACTCGTTAATAAAAAAAAAAACACACAAATGTGTACAACACAAAAAATTAAAAGTTTAAAGACTAAGCTTTAAAAACTAAAAAGAAATATCTATTTGGATTAAAGAATATATGTTACTCCTAAGATGTCGAAAGTTTTATCTTCACTCTCACAGAAACATTGCCATTATGTGGAGAAGGAAAAATATACCCCCTTTAACTGTCCCCGGGGACTAGCCAGAGAAAGTATACGTATTACAGATTTGTATTATTTAGTCTTACAGATAATATTAACTGTGTGTGTGTGTAGAGTTTTTAAACCTGTGGGACTCTTCTAAAATTGAAGTCTAATAACCTGTTAATAGTTATCCCCTTAAATTTTGTGAGACATAAATATTGACTTAACCTTATTTTACTTACACAGTAGCACAGTAAAGCATTCAATACTAACCCTTACCCAAAACTGGAAATTTACAATAGCATACTTACCATATCCTTTGTTGAAGACATCCTTGGCAGCCTTTCCTAGGTCACAGTAAGTTGGTGTGTTACACATATCTTATAAAGAAAAATGGGGACAGTGGAATAAAAACAACCATTTAGTATTTATTCACCCTTAGTCCTACTAGTTAGTGCTGTGAGAAGAGTTATTCGGTTTTCTCTTCCTTTGCTCATGAATGCTTATATACTAATGCAAGCCAAGCTGAGAAGGCACCCTGCTCCTTTAAAAGGAGCTTTCCCAAACACAGAAGAATAAAAGAGTTTTTCAGCAGAGTCAGAGATCATCTTCTGATTGCATTTCAAAGAAAAGACATTTCTTACAGGCTGAAGGATAAATGTGCTAATTTACCTTTTGACTTTAAAAAAAGGAAAATTTATATTAGAAAAACATTTCTTGGGCTCTTATAAAGCCAAAGAGCTGGCTAAGGTGATGAGGTAGATTTGTTAAGGAGCTGTAAGCTTAAACAGATGCATTAAAAATGTTCAGGGTTAATATTTTTGCCACTCTAAAATTCAGCTCTTAAAATAAGAATCACCATACTACTAACTGAAACGTAATCATCCAGAATATGCCCTCTCTCAAAGCTCTTCTTAAAATAAAGTGCTATAATCTAACCCATTAACCAGAAATAGAAAAAATTGTACCTGCAGTAATCTGTTTACCCAAAATTGATATACATTCTAAAGTTAAAGCCTTCAAAATCACAAGGTGCCTTGAATTTTCATCTTGCCTACTTAATAGTTACCCAGCTTTTCTATGGCCAATATGACTCTCAGTTCTATCAACACTGCTGTACATACCATTCCTTTGCCCGCTTCCTGAAGCAGTCTCAAAAGACACGTGTAAACAATTGTAGAACCACCAGAAGCAGCCCTATTAGCTCCAAATACTATACCAGAAAATTTCAGAGCACCAGCTAGCCCTTGCTTGCAATTACTGTGCTTACACATTCAAACTAATATTTATTCATCTTTAGCCTAAATTTTTGCCTAGTGTAACAACACTTGTAATGCACTTAATTGTGAATTCATTAAAAACTTGTTCCTTAACCTAAATCTGTCAAACATGACAGACATTATATGTTAAGGGAACAGTGTAACACACACACATAAAGTTAGGAGGAAAGAGTAAAGATGAAAGAGTCAGGGTAAAGGTATTGACTCATACTATAATAAAACTTTTTTTCTGAGCCACAGAGTTTCAGAGTTCACATCCAGGGCAATTACTTTACAATTCAGTTCCTTGTATTCAATTAATTGATTCTACACGTTCCGCACGGCCAATTGCAATCTAGTGTTACTTTTAATGATCACAACTGGTTCTAGTATCTGTCGAAATTTTGCAAAAGACTATAATTTGCAGAGGTAGGTACAGAAAAGCAGGCACTATACAGTCAGATAGAAATGTTAAGGCTTTACAGTCTGATTTTTCAACTACTGACCAAAGGCAAGGTGCACTTACATGTTTAGAAACATCCATCTAGGGACTTATCACAATCTTTTAGCATTTTGCCTTCCTTTTCAAAACCAATGCCAGACACGTTGCAAAAGTCGCGCAGCTGGTTTAAGTTTGCTATCTGATCTCACGTCTGCCTAGTTCAAGCTTACTTTTTCAGGCCCACTATTCTGATGGGAAATGCACGACTGGTATGATCAAGCAAAAAATCGAGAAGACACAGAGACTTCACGTTACTGGAGAGTACAGCTATCATCGCTTATTTCTATTAGAGCTACAAAAATGCACTTGTTATTTGTAGACATGCACAATGTACCGAGATTGCATAAGATGCAGACCGGGGAGAGGAGGGCGTTAACTAGGTAATACTGCTTAACACAATAACTACACGGTAAAGACCCTGTTTTAGTCCTCGTTTCTCCTTTTTAAGTTGCAAATACAGCGTCCTCCCTTTGGCGATAAGGAGTGGAAGGGCTCCCATGATGCTGGACAACAACTCCAGCGAGGAAGCTGGGGGCGGGGAGGAGGTTTGGGGTTCGAGGACCCAACTTCCTTAGAAACTAACCTCCCTTCTGGCCTGACTCCTGGAAACAAAGTCCCGCGGGCACACCAGGCGGAGGGTAGGTTGCGGCTCGGTGCTCGGAGCACCTCCTGCCCCCGCCGGCGCAGCGGCTCCATCACCTGAGGTGGCCAGGGGAACAAGGTCCCCTTTTGCCCTCCGCGGCCCGACCGGGCCCGCGCCCCGTTAGGCTGCTCTCTCCCTCCTGTGCCCTCCCTTAGGCCCGCCTCCCGTCGGGTCCCCTGCTCGGAGGCGCCCCATCGCCCCCTCACCCCCGGCCCAGCCTGGCCCCCGGCCTCAGCTCTCCTCACCTCCACCCAGAGAGCAGGTCGCTGCTCCGCCAGGGCAACGCTGAAGGTCTTCTTCAACCAACGCCGTCCGCGCCTGCGCGGCCTTACTCCCCCCGCGGCGCCTGCGCGCCCCTGCTTCCCCTCGCACCGCGTTTGCGCCGTGGTGTCACACCGGGGTCGCGCGCCGCGGAGCTGCGTGCGGGGAGGAACAACTGGGACGAACCAACACCACCAACTGTCTGGGTCTGTGTGCGCGCGTGCGCGGCAGGAACCAGCGCGCAGGTAGCCAGGGTGGAGGTTGACGCGAGGCGGGGGGCATCCTGGGGGAATCGCACCTTTGTCCCTGGAGGGGCTCGCTCCCGCGAGGACGCCCGGAGGTTACTAGTTACTGTTGCCATGGGAGGGGCCGCGGGGAAAGCGGGCGAAGGAGACTTGGTACTCTTCTGCTCGAATGCTAAAGCCTGGCACGTCACACCCGGGCCGTTTCATTCTGGCGAGCACCTTGCAGATCTTTATGGAAAAGTCTCCGACTGGGTAAAATTCAAGAATGTGGCCCCTAGGTCATCTCACTTTAAGGATGAGAAAAACTTGAGCCCCGAGGGGGGTAAGTGACGTCAGCTATTCAAGATCACACAGGCAGCGGAAGGTGGATTATAATTCAAAGTGGGAGAGATTTTTAGAGAAGAATACCAACTAATAAACGTAGAAGAAATTATAGATATAGAAAATCACCACTTTGGAACCAGCAATAATTGATTCAGGCAACAATTATCAGTGGATGCAGGATGGTTGAGCATATTCATGCAGTTTCAAAGTATCACCCACAGATTACTTGCTGGAGAGAAAAGGGTACCTTCACATCAAAGAAATGAGACTGACATCATGTACTCCTTGATGTGATGCACAGAGGACACTGCGATAATTATTCTTGTCAAAAGTGTGTAATTTGTTTCATAAGGAAACAAACTCAAATTGAGGGACATTCTGCAAAACAACTGTCCAGTCTCTTAAAAAATGTAAATTTCTTGCAAGATTAAGAAAAAGGCTACTGAACTGTTCTGGATTAAAGGAGATGAAAAATATGATACTAAAAGCAACATGATCCCAAATTGGACTCTGGGGGCCAAGGGAACAGCTACTGAGAAACACTATTGGGACAATTGGGAAAATTTGAATGTAGACTATATTAGAATTGCAACAATGTAAAAGTTTCTGAGGGTGATAATTACATCTTGGTTATGCAGAGAGGGCATTGTTTTTAGGAGATACATGCTAGAGTATTTAGGAGTGAAATAGCATGTGTATACAACTAACTCAAATGGTCAAGGAAAAAAGAGACAGAAAAAAAGCTTATGTATAAAATGTTAACACATGGTGGTCATTGCATTATTCTTGAAGCTTTCCCATAAGTTTAACATTTTCAAAAAAAAAGTTGAGAAGAACCCACACACATAGTCTGTGATGTTCAGTTCACAGACCAGGCTGCTGCTTGAATCAATGGCAAATATCACTATTTGCCTGCTGTGTGTTAAGTATCTCAGGCTAATAAGAGAGAACTAAGATAAATGTTCCCAGAGGACTGTAATGCAGAACTTGGACAAATGCCTGCCAAATGAGGCAGAATATGATAAATATCATAAGCAAAGAAGTATGACTTAGTAGGCTAAATAAAATGAGCTTTGGAGTAAAAAGAGGCTGGGTTTGTATCTCAGACCTGTCAACTCTGTGGTCTTAGACAAGCAACTTAACCTCTTGATACCTCAGTTTCTATATTTGTGAAACGGACTAAATAAGATCTACTTCAGAGTATTATAGTGGATATTACATGAAATAATGTATTCATAGCACAAAGCAATCTATCTGGCATATAGAAATGTTCACTGGTTACTAATACAGATAAAAACTAATATGCAGCCCTCTGCTGGTATGGCTCAGTGGATTGAGCATCTTCCCATGTGTCCCCGTCAGGGCACATGTCCTGGTTTTAGGCTTCAAACCCAGCAGGGGGCATGCAGGAGGCAGTTGATGGATGTTTCTCACATTGACGTTTTTAACTTCCTTCTCTCTCTCTTAAAAAAAAAAAAAGTCAATAAAAACATTTTTTTAATTTTTTATTAATTTAATTTTGTTACAGATGTTTTTCCTTCCCCTCAGACATGCTCCCCCCACCCACCCAGCATTGTTGGCTATATCCATTGGTTATACATACATGCATATAAATTATTTGGTTTATCTCATCCATCTCCCCTGACCCCCTCCTCTGAGGTTTGTCAGTCTGAGCAATACTCCTTTTTATGTCTTTGGGTCTATTTTGTTCATCAGCTTATTTTGTTCATTACATTCCACAAATAAGTGAGATTATGCGGTATTTGTCTTTCTCTGATTGCAATAATACTCTCCAGTTCCCTCCATGTGGTCTCAAAGGATAAGAGATCTTCTCTTTCTTACAGCTGCATAGTGTTCCATTGTGTATGTGTACCACAGCTTTTTTTTTTTTTATAATCCTCAGCTGAGGACATTTTTCCATTTTTTTGTTCAGATAGAGTAGAAGGGAGAGAGAGGAAGAGAGAGAGAGAAACATCGACGTGAAAGAGACACATCGAGTGGCCGCCACCCACACAACCCAACCAGGACTGGGGACAAACTGCAGCCGAGGTACATGCCCTTAGCGGGAACCGAACCCAGGTCTCTCGGGATCACAGGCCGATGCTCTAACCACTGAGCAAAACCGACCAGGGCATACCACAACTTTTTTATCCACTCATCTATTGATGGACACTTGGGCTGTTTCCAGATCTTAGCAATTGTAAATAGTGCTGCTATGAACATAGGGGTACATATATTCTTTCTGATTGGTGTTTCAGGCTTCTTAGGATATATTCCTAGAAGCAGGATCACCAGGGAAAATGGCAGATCAATTTTTAATTTTTTAAGGAAACACCATATTGTTTTCCATAGTGGCTGCACCAGTCTGCATTCCCACCAGCAGTGTACTAGAGTCCACTTTACATCAATACACAGCAGAATTTTCACTGATACAATGCCTAAGACAAAAGAAACAAAGGAGAAAAAAAAATACATAGGACTACATCAAACTAAAAAGCTTATGCACAGCAAAAGAAACAACCATCAAAATGGAAAGGGAACCCATTATATGGGAGAGCATAATAAGCTGATGAACAAAATACATCAGATAAGGGGTTAATTTCCAAAATATGTAGAGTGCTCATACAACTCAACAAAAGGAAGACAAAGAACCCAATTTAAAAATGGGCAGAGGACCTAAATATGCACCTCTCCAAAAAGGATACACAAATGGCCAAGAGACATATGAAAAAATGCTCAACATCACTAATCATCAGAGAGATGCAAATTAAAACAACTATGAGGTAATAAAAACATTAAAAAATTAATATGCACTAAGCATTTAAAAGATATACAAGCAAAACCATATTTATTCATATATATAAATATTAGAGCTACAACTTCAGCCTGTGTTTTGCACAGACCTGGCATTTGTTGGATACAACAGGCCATTAAAGGCTGTAAGGAACACTTTGAATGGGAATCTGGCAACATTTCTTCTGTTGGCTTCTGCTAGCCAAAGATGGCTTCTGTTTTCCAGAGATCTTTCTTCTGAAAGGACCTGACACCACCTGTCCCAGGTCATGCAGAGAGACTTTCTCTCTTCCACTACACCTGGTTCAGGAAGGTGATGAAAGAAACTGTTCAGGAAAACAGCTGTTGCAGAGGGAGTCCTTCCTTTGCTTCCTGTCCCTCTGGCCTGTTAACTTAACTAGATCCAGGTTAACACTCAATGTCCATATCAAGTCTCTGGCCGTGGCCATTTCAAAACTACAACCAGTTCTCATTTCCCTACCTACACTGGGATCTAAACTCTTGGGAAGTGTAGAAAGTACATTCTCGGTCCAAATTCTAATAACATGGTATTCTCCTATAAAATCTCTAGAATCTGAATTTTAGAGCAGGTAAGGGACTTTAGACTCCTTCATTTGTAAGACATTTGCTAAGTATTTATTATGCACAGGACACCATGCTCAGAGCTGATGTATGAGGAACACCCCAATATGTCAGTGCCGGGTGGGTCCACATGCCCATGAAGATGGTGTCACCTACTGAGCAAGTTCCCAAGACAGGTCACCTGCTCTAATCAGTATAACCTGCTGTTCTGCCTTTGTTGCCTTTTTGAGAGAAAATCTAAGGTTAGTAGTATACTTTTACCTTCAGAAATGAAAAAACAAGAACTGAAGTCCCAGTGAAGAATTGGTAGTTCAATTACCCTAGGTGTAAGAAAAAAATGAGATTCTGAAGCCAGTGCTGTTACTTCCTGATTTCTTTAAAGAAAACGGGCCCACTTGCTTGTTTTCAAGGACTCTAAAATTCTGAGGGGTGAGGATCCCCTAGGTACTGAGTGGCTGAAGGCAGCTTTGAAGAGAAGGAAGTACAAGCCACATGCTCGTGCTTCTGCAAGAAGGCAGCCAGAGCACAGGAACCCAGCAGTGAAAGCACCTAACTGTGCGTAGGGGAAGAGACTGAAGGCTCCTCTGAAAAGTGATGTTGGAATGACCCAGGTGGACAGCAGAGGAATGGCTTCCATTGCAGAGGGACAGAGTGATCAGAGACTTAAGACACCATACCCTGAAATTCCATGTCAAAGGATGCATCTCAAAGAAATAAAGATAGATTTGTGCAAAGATTTTGATCTTTGTGCAAAGATCTTGAATAGCTTGAACGATTTAGAGTAGCAAAAAATTTAAACCAATATGACCAACATTCAGAAGATTCATTAAATAAAACTATAATACACCCATATTCTGAGTTAT